ACTGGTGTAAGTGCAGAGTTCAGTCTTCCTGCGGGCTCTTCCCTGCTGGCCTGTCTTGGTCACTTTTCTCTGTTTGTTGAGATAAAATAACTAACAGGAAACTTCATGAAGGAAGGAAAAGTTTACGTCTTACAGTTTGTGGAGGTTTCAGTCCACACTCAGCTGGCTCCAGGGCAGGTGGCGTGGCACAGGGGCCTCTTCTGGCTAATCCTATGCAGGGGCCACTTTCCCCTCTCCAGGGCAGGTGTAGCACTTAAAAATCTCCTTGCCCTTCTTTGTACAGGAGGATGTTTAAAAGAACTCTGGCTCCCTGCAGAGTCTCTCAATTAAATTTCTAACTTCTCAAGCTGACACAGTGTACCAACCACAGCGCCGCCTTGGCCTTTCCCGAAGTACCCTGGTCAGTTCTGAACATTTTATCTTTTAGGAACTTACTTATTTTGCCTTACAGCACCTGGATTTGACCCAGTGTCTCACTCAAGCCAGGCAAATGCTGAGCTGCTGAGCCACAGCCCCAGGCCTCCCCTCCTTTCCCAAATGTTTTACTTTTTATTTGGAGGCACAGTGTCACTAAGCTGCCCAGTCCAGCTCTGCACTGTCAACCTCCCGTCTCAGCCTCCCAGATCACTGGGGTTACAGGCAGGTGCCACCACATCCAGCTTTTCTAAGCAGAAACATGAAGCTTGCACATATGAATGGGGTCACTTGTAATGAATACACACGTACACGCTGCATGACTATCAGTTTAATCATATTTATTTCTCATTTACCAATTCTGTGTGGGGAAAACACTCAGCGTCCTCACAGCATTCTGAAATGTTGTCCATAGTCATCACCCTGGACAGCAGGACCCTGTAGTTCCTTGCTCTTAGCTAAGTGACTGCCACTCTAAGTGGTAACTGCCATGCTAGACTTCTACAAGGTCCGCTGGTCAAGGTTCTACGTAGCAAGGACATTGTGCAGCCCTTCCTGATTTTACCTGGCACGGTGACCTCCACTTCTATCCATGCTGTCACAAGGAGGCTTTACTTTTTATGGCTGAATAGTTCTCCACTGTGTATATGCCACTTTTTTATTCATTCATCAGCTGATGGATGATGAGGTTGTCTCCATGTCTTGGCTGTTGGGAACATTGGGAACAGGGCACAGTTAATGTGGCAGCAGAGGTGTCTCCTTGATGACGACTCTTATCGCTCATCGGGTAGAAGGGAAGTCCGGTTTACGGTACAATTTCCTTCCACCTGGGCTAAAGAGTGAGCTGTGACATACTCCTTATTCCCCGGCTGTAGCTGGCTCTCTTCTGGCAGCAGGACACAAAACCCACCGGAGTTCTTCTGTCACCTCTCACAAAGCTAGACTGGCTACATTTAAGATTTCAGGGCCGTGAAAGAACCTTGTGGCCAGGCATGGTAATGCAGGCCTGGAAGCCCAGCACTTGGGAAGCTACACAGTGAGCGCTAGGCCAGCCTCAACCACTCAGCAAGACCCTGTCTCAAACGAAATTTGGAAATTAAGAATACCGAGACTAGACAGTCTGAGTAAACCAAATAACGAAATAGGCACCGTTTAGGTATAACCCGGCCCTCCCTCTCAATCCCAGTTCCCATCACTTCTAGTGGTTCAGGTGAGATTCTTCATGAATCAAATGAGAGGTTCTACGTTTCCAACATCAGGAAATAACCTTCTCTAACCTTTTTAGTGTATGTGAAACTGGCACAAAATAAAAACTCGTTGTGTAGTGATTTCACCTCATATGCAGTGGACAACACAACATGTGATTTTGTGTGACGCTGCAGCTTATTAGATTTCTTCCCTAGTAAGGAAAGTAACAGAGTAGCTTGCGGCTCACTCATTTATCCTATCTAGTGATTTCGCTCTAAACCCTGTACAAATCAGTGTATAAATGTGAATGTAGCGGGCAGCGGTGGTGCACACCTATAATCCCAGCACACCAGAGGCTGAGGCAGGAGAACTGCTGGAATTTGAGGCCAGCCTGAGGTACACGGTGAGAAGTTGGGGTCAGCTGGGCTACACAGTGAGACCCTGCCAGGGAAAAACACACACAAAAATTACAAAGTGAACATACAGGATACTTAGGTAAGTAGATAAGCATGACAGGAGACATGGCCGCTGTTGTTTCATATGTAAGAGACAGCATTTTATTTGCAGAAAATCTACAAACCACAACAACAAAAATAATGACCCACAGACAGATCCCATTTCTGCTCTAGTTACAATTGTGTCAGCAGAGATATCAGTTTTATATTTAAAAAAGAGGAAAGTTTTGGTGTTTAAATACACTTGACAAACTTCATAGTGAAAGAAAAAAAACCCAAAAATCTCATTCCCATGAGACTTAGAACACCTAACACAGATTTTTCCAAAATGGTCAGCCCTCTCATGTATTTTTCCTCATGCACCTTTGTGGGGCCAGGAATGAGCCAGAGGGTGTTCTGGGGTGCTTACACCAACACACACGGAACAGGCAATCTGCTGAGTGGAGTTTCCCAGAATGCATCAGTAGGTCATCCGTGCAAAGCACTGGGTATATCTCATGAAATTAGCTTTCTGCTTTAGAAATATACCCCAGCAGTTTGTTTTTAACACATGTTTGTAGTACATGATGATCACACCCCTCATGGGAAGTCAGTACATGTGTATCTTATTTTTAAAAAAATTCCTCTCCTCCCTCAATTCATCTCCTAGGTGCCTTTCCACACGCAAAAGATCTGTCTGGCCACTCGTGGGCTTCTCCTTTGTTTTGGCAGAGTAGTGCTCCATTGTGTATAAATACATCCCTTTTTTGTTGGTTTTTGAGGCAGTGTTTTACGATGTAACTTGGGCTAGCCTTGAACTCACCATGCAGCCTAGGTTGGCCTCAGACTTGTGAGTGCAAGGATTATATGCACAGACTACCATGCCGGCACCACATTTTCTGCATTCATCTCTCTGTTGATGGATTTTTAAGCTACTTCCAATGTGTGGCTATTGTGAATTGTGCATCTATCTATACATGAGTATGCATGGAGCTCTATTATAAGGTGTCTTTAGCTCTTTTGAGAAGATACTTAGAAAGGGAATAGCTGGGTCAAGTTTGGTGAATTAGCATTCTGAATTGCATAATGGCTGCATTAGATTACATTCCCACCAATAATACAAAAGCACACCACATCCCCCACCTTCACCAAAACCTGCTATCATCTGGCTCCTTTATGATGGCCATCTTGCTGGAATATGAATCTCATTACTGTTTTTGTTGCTTGTTTTTGACAGGGCTTGCATACTGAATTTAGACTAACCTTGAACTATGTAGCCTGGGCCTGCCTCAGTTTGTAAAGTGCTAGGATTACAGGCGTGGCCACCATGCCCAGTCATTGTTGTTTTAAAGTTTAATGGCCAGCAATGTTGAGTATTTTTTCCTGTATTTATTGGCCAGTTGTATTTCTTCTGAGAAGATTCTGTTCATTTCAGTTGCCTATTGTTTGAGTGGGTCTTGCATTTTGGAAGTCTAGGCTTTTTGTGTTCATTACATATTCTTCATTATCAGCTCTCTGTCCAAGAAATAGGTAACAAACTTTTCCCCTATTCTGTCGTTTGTCTGTTTTCTCTGTTGATTGTTTCCACTCTGTGCAGATTTTAACTTGATGGGACCCACTTGGTGATTTTTGGTGTTCTTATGCAGTTGGGGTTCTGTTCAACTATAATCCTAGCACTTGGGAGGCTGAAGCAGGAGGATCACTGTGCGAGGCCAGCCTGAACTATATAGGTAGACCCTATCTCAAAAAAAAAAAAATAAAATAAAAACATATAATTAGTAAAAAACAGGCAGCAACCAATTAGACTAAGACTCACTGAATAATGTCTGAGCCTGAAGACTCCACCTTGGCCCAGCAGAAGCCTCTGGGTTTCTACCTGAGGATATGTCCAGCTAGGGCCATGCGGGTATCTGGCAAAACTGTTGTTCACCAAGTTGCATGGAAGTCGTGTTTCAGTATCTGAGCCTAGCTAAACGTTAGCCCTGCAAGTATGGAACCAAAAGGCAATGCGGGTGCCCTAAGGAATGCAAGTGCTGCATCTTATTTGGGAAGAGTATATCACGCATCTCTTTAAGGTGCACATGTGTATGTTCAATCAAGTAATTTTGAACCTCAAAATATCAGGGAAATTCAAGAGTTTTTTTTAATGATTTGGGCCCAAAGGATGTACCATAAGGTCTTTATGCACTCTAGAAGTCTTCAGGTGTAGAATGAACTTTAGAACACTTTTAAAGCCATCTCATCTTGTCTGTAAGCCTGAGGTCCAGAGACAGTCTCTCTCACAGTTAGTGGCCTCGGACTTGGAACTCTTTCCTAGTGCCTAGGGTTTTCTCCTTTTGCTAGCAGAGGCAGGGTCCATGAACTGGTTCCCCCAAACGAAGAAATAGAAAAAAAACCAAAAAGCATTGTAAGTGTATGAGCTACGCACTTGTGAGCAGCACAATGTGCTGGCACCTGAGCGCCTTTCCTTGTTGGTACACAAAACCGCCGTCTTTGGAAGGGCGTCACCATAACAGTACACGGGATAGCAAAACCTGGAGGCCACAGCAGTTGTGGAGCCCGACTCTCTTTCCCTCTGCACTGTATGAGGCAAACTCCTGCACCTCCGCGCCTCTGCACCCTGAAACCCTGCAGCCCCATGCCCCGTAACCCCTGCACACCCCCGCCTCTGCGCCCCCCAACTCCAGGCTCACGCAGGCAACACTCGACCCCGACCCAGCCGCGCAAGCCTGCGCAGGTCCTCGATCGCGGCCATGCTGCACACCGGGGCGCCGGACTAGCACCTTCGCGGTCGTCCCCTTCCGGGTGCTGGAGCGCGGGGAGCAGGGGGGAGCTCAGAGCCGCCCCGGGCCACCTCCTAGGGGCGTGGGCGGCGGCGGAAGCGCGGGGCCGAGCCTCGCCCCTACCCCGGGCTGTAGAGACGTGCCCGCTCCTCGCCGGAGCTCAGGCTACAGCCGCTCCGACGCGAGCCCCGCCGCGGGGACCTGGTTCCCCCGGGCTGCAGGCCCGGCCGCCCTAGCCTCAGTGGAGGCCCCGGGTCGCCTCTCGGCACCGCTCACGCCTGGCCGCCCTCACGCGCCTTCGCGCATGCGCCGGCCGTCCCCTGCGGCTCCCTTTCTGGGAACAAAACTAACGCCGAGCCGCGGAGCTCCGCAATTTGCGTAGACCCGCACTTCCTACCGCTCCGACCCTCCGAGCGGCGTCCGCGAGGGGCGTCGCTTCCCTGCGCGAGCGGCGCTTCCGGAGCGAGCAGCGCGTACGCCCGTCGCGTAGCGCCCATAGGCGGAAAGGTTGCGCCTGCGCAGAACACTCCGCCCGCCCGGTACGCTATTAGCGTAGCGTGGCGAGGGACGCCCGGGCCTGCGCGACGCAGTTGGCGCAGCGGGCGTTGGTGAATCCACGACTTGGTGCAGCCGGGTTTGGTACCGAGCGGAGAGGAGATGCACACGGCACTCGAGTGTGAGGTAACTATAAAACCCCGATTTGTTTACATTCCCTCCCCCAGAACCGGCCCCGTGCGCCGCGGAGCCTGCGAGGTCCCGGACGCGGCGGCAGGCGGGCGAGGCGGCGGCCGGGGCGGGTCCCGCGGGGCGGCGCGGGGCTGCGGCGGGGCTGGGCGGGCGGCTGGCGGCTGGCGGCTGGTGGCGGGCGGCGGGGACTCGGCTCGGCCCGCGCCCGGTTCCTTGGCGGCTTCGCCCGCGATCCCCGCCGGCCGCTCCGCGCCGCGCCGCGCCGGGCCTGAGCGGGCCGGCCGGGCTTTGTTCTCGGCCCCGGCAGGGGCCGGGCGGCAGGGAGCGGGACCCCGGCTTCGCCTGGTGCCGGCGGCCCTCGGGCCGGGCGCGCGCGGCCGTGACGTTGAGGGCTCGCGGCGCTCACGTGGGCGCCGCACGTGGCGTGGGCCGGCGGCCGGGGGCTCGGCGGAGACGGCCCGGCGGGGGCCGCGGCCAGGCGATCGCGGGTCCCCTCCTGCTCCTCGGGTTTGCCTTGGGAGCAGCTCCTGGAGCCGCGCCAGCCCGCGGCAGTGCAGGCTCTGTGCGGCCTCCGGGACGTGCATCCGAATCGTGTGTGAGGGAGGAGTAAGTCGTGCATTGCAAAAACCACAGGTCAAGAATTTACTGTAATGCTGTCGAGAACCTGGACTTCCAGATCTCGGGATCGGTTTACACCGCGGCTCCCTGCCCAGAAGTTCTCTGACTACCTTCGTGGTGCGGGTCCGCGTTTCCCTAGACCTTGAGAACCCATGCCAGCTAACCCACATCCTGTCTGCCTGGAACATTTCACCAGAGATCGAAACAAGTATCCAGTATCAGTGATACCTGCTGTGCAGAAAACGAAACAGGGATATGCTGGCAGGCAAACGTTTCAGTTTTGTGATGTGTAGGAGGTTTGGAATACCGTCAGGTAGGATTACAGCAGAAGCCCAGGGTGAAATATCCCTACTGCGAGAAAGTATTAGCTCCCATCAGGGTTACCTGGATGACTTAACTAGCCAAGATTAATTGATCCTGAAAAAATGTAAATAATTTAAGGTGTTTCATGTTGTACTTCGTGCCTTCCTTTGGGAATGTGAAGAAGTAATTCTATTTTGGTGGCTAATTACAAGTAAGATACGCCTGTCTTTCCTCTGTCCAAATTCTCAAACCTGAATCCGGTCTACCTGCGGACACTTGGAGAAGAATGACTTTGAATGACTGGGGCTATTTGAAAAGCTGCGTTTGGGAGATCTTTCGTTGAGATGTGGTTCACTCAACATGTTAGGCCCCAACGTATTTTGGGATTTGGAGTTTTTGGATTTTTGTTTTGGGAATGCACAATTTGTGATTCAGTCATAAATTTCTGTTCCACTAGCAAAAGCGAGCACAGTTCTTTTGCTGTATTTTTTTTTTTTTTTTTTTCCTTTTTTGAGCACTGGCTTTAAAATACTTTTAGGATGCCTCAGGCTTAGAATGCAGGTACTGTTGTAGGGGATGTGCCCTCCCCCCCCCATTCCTAATTTATGGAAAGGTACGATGTAGGTATCAGCATGAAAAATTATTCAGCAGCTGGGATAATCACTTGTTTTTTTTTTTTTTTTTTTTTTTTTTAATTTGCGTGCTGAGGATTGAATCCAGGGAGTGCTGTGCTGCATCTTCAGGGTTTTTTGCTCAGTTGTCCAGGCTGGCCTTGAAACTCCTGCCTGGGTGCCTTCCCCTGTCTTTTCAAATAAAGAAAATTTACTTGTCAGTATTATTTTGTGTTGTCCACCCTGGTCTGTTTTCAGTATTGGCCAGTATTATAAACGAGGGCTTTGGGGTGGCATTAAAGATTTGACCCCTGTATCTACTGTTAACACTGGTTACCTTAACCATCTTGCTTTCAGTGATTTATCTATGAACCTTAAGCACTGAGGTTTACCTTCTGCGCCTACTGTGACCCTTGAGTGAGGCAGTGAACCTAAGTACTGCAGATCCATTGTTTAATCATCTTAATTTTCTATATAATTTCATTTTCTCCAGGTTGTGGAATACCTTTTCTTTTCTTATAATTTTGTAGTCCCCCGAATAAGGTTTGGTAATTTCTGCCACTCCTTTGGGAGGAAACAACTACTCTGCTGATTTTGGTACTCATGTAATAACTAAGGAGTTCTCTGCCTTTCTTGTATTTTCTGTTCTATAATTACACACCTTTTCCCCTGCCAAACTGCCTTCTTGGATGGGGAACAAACACCACAGCTTTTTGACACGTAGTGCTTATGAGCATTAAAGGAATTTTCAAAGCTTGTTTGTGTACCTCTTTAATCCAGTTTAAAAAATTCATTGAAAAAAAACCCTTAAATTTAGCACTAATTTAGGAAAATACTTTGAATAAAATTGTCAGCCTTTACCTGTGTATTGTGTCTTATGAATGAAAACATTCCTAAATTGGACATAAAACAGGAAATGGAAGAGAAATGTAATCAAAACAGCTAAATCTTTAGATAACATTTCACTTTAAACCAACTTCCGTGATTGTCATTCTCTCTTTTTTTTTTTTTTTTTTTTTATTGGTACGGAGGATCGAACTCAGACTGCCTGCTTGCAAGGCAGGCGCTTATGCCACTGAACTAAATCCCCAGCCCCTAGGACTGTCATTCTCGTGAAGATGGTGTGGGAATGCTGGATTTTAGTCCAACAGCAGAGTTGGTGGGCAGCATATTCAGGGCCCTCCAAACCCCGCAGCCATGGCTGTGTGCTTGTGATCTGGGCAGCTTCCTAGACCTCCATAGCACAGGCTCTGCCCACCTGCTGCCCTGTGGCAGTTTGCTGCTGCCCCCTAGTGTTCGGTTGCCCTTAAAATTTAGTTTTTTAAAATCTTTTCACCTGCACCCTGCTGGTGCCCCTGCCCCACCTTAAATTACCTGGTGAGTCTTGAGTCCCGCACATCTGGTCCACCTTTCCTGACCTTACAGCTGTTTAGAGTCCTGAATTAAATGGACTTGATCCTTCTGAGTTGTGTTATTTGATGACTTTTTGCTTCCAGCTTTCCAAATAAAATTTTGGGGTGGAGTTAAAAACCATACAGTGTTAACAAGTTACTTTGTGAAAGCGTATGTGGTTTTTTTAAAAGAATAATTTGAAGGTATATTTTTGAAGTTAGTTTTTTATAGAAATAACAATCTGGGCTACTTGTCTAACCCTAAGGGTGTTATAAAATCTTTTTTGGCTTAATTTAGTTCCATATAACTTGTTTCATCTGTATTAATAAAGTTTGAAAATGTCAAATTCACATGGTGAGCTTTTAAATTTATTTTGAGCTATGACATACACGATTTTTGAAGAAACAAAGATTCAGGGTCCTTTCATAAAAACAAGATTTCCTCTGGTTATTTATGTAAATGCTCAGGTGTCAGGGTGTACAAGTTGTCAGCGTTCCAGTCTTACCTTTTCCTTATTAGTCACTGTAAATCCTGTGGGTGGGCTCCCCAGTGACTTTTAGTTTTCCTGATGTAATTAAATATTTTCTTACGGTAAGAATGTACTGGAATATGTAGAAACGGTAGGTAGGTAGTGAAGCAATTTACAGCAGTTCTAGGAGTTTCCAACTGCTTAGGAAATCACACGTGATATCCAGAAAAGTTAAAACACACAGTAATTTATTGTCATCAGGTAAATAAAATGGTATTTTTCTATGTTGTCAGAACATTGAATGTTGAGTCTTTAGACTCAACATACAGAGTGGGATATGTAGTATGTGCTTGATTAGCTGTTAGAGTGAGGTACTACTGGTGGTTACAGTTCATACATGTATCAGTGTAAAAGCCTGTTCAGGTAGCATTGATCTTCACAGTCTGAAACATGACTGTGTAATTCTGTAAATGCTTTGCAATTCCTCAGTTTAAAGACGGTTCGCTGCTGACAGGGAGGAAGGGTCAGATGATAGTTACTACTTCCAGCGGGCGGAGCTTCACCCTCCACACGCACCCTCCTTTTGGAGATGACCCGTCCTGGTCAGAGAAGGTTTCAGGGATGAGAAAAGTGTGGATGTCGTAGGAAATAGCCTTGCATTATTGATGTAGGAGCATGTAGGTCATGGGTCAGCAGGCCGTGACCCAAGGGCACATTCACGGTTTTTGTGAGTCAAGCGTTCCTAGGTGGCAGCCACCTCCTGGGTCCCCCCATTCTGCACTTCTGTGCTGTCTGTCTGAACTGTCAGGGTTGGGCAGGTCCCACCCGGGTCTGCCTGTGTAATGTCCCAATGTTACACCACATGTTTGCTTACGTTTTTTCTAGAAATGCGGTGGCGAACAATCCTTGAAAGCTCTGAAATGCTCGCCATGAGTGTTCTAGAACCCGAATGAGTAAATTATAGGAGTAGCAGGACAGTCAGTGAGCACGTGAGCGTGAGTCCTCAGTGTCGGTGTCCCCAGGATCCTGCTGCTCACCCGCTTCCCCCCTTCATTTTCCCTCCTCTGGAGAAATCCCAGTGTTCTGTGCTTGGGTGTGTGGCCCTGGCCTGAGCTCAGGTGGTCACTGCAGTCTGGACTGTCCCTTCTTCTGTAGCCTGGCCCACAGCTTTCTCACTAGTGGAAAAGCTGCTTGTGCCTTCCTTGTAAGTTCTTCAGAGTAGGAAATACATGATCTATATTTATTTAGCTTTTATGTAGTACACGCTTGCAATTCGCATAGCTTCAGTCAGTCACCTTAGGGAGTAGATCCATATACCTAACATACCTCAGTTCTGTGTTTACTCCTCTGTCCAGCCTCCACCCACCTCCCTCCCTCCATCTCTAAGATCTCCTTCCCTCATTTGCATTGCTTTTTCTTACTGTTTTCTTTTTCAAGGCAGTTTCTCTCAGTAATCCAGGCTGGTCTTGAACTCACCTTGTAGCCTAGGCTGGCCTTGAACTCACAGTGACCCTTCGGCCTCCGCCTCCCAAGTGCTGGGGTAACTGGGGGTGCACCACCACCCCAGCTTCCATTTCCCATTATTGTCGTTAATATTGCTT